AGATTAAAGATTTGAATCCATGTTGGTTTATTTTAAGTGAAGTGACCAGCGTCCGAGGAAGCGTTAATATGCCCACTGTATATGTAAAAAGTTACGCACTGTGGCTTTAAGTTCTAATCATTGATCTTAACTATAAGTCATTTTTAAAACAATATCTTTTTATGTCACTTTTACAGAAACTTCAACACAAAAACTGAGCCTCAGTTAAGATGAAGACTGCAAGTGAGGGAGCACACAAACACACACACAAACACAAACACACAGACACACAGACACACACACACACACACGGGTGAGGGGGGGGGGCAGTACCTTGGTAGCCGTTGTCGTCCATGTCGACCCCAGAGCTGAGCGACTGACCGAACATGAACAGGTCCCTGCCCAGAGACGCCCCCGAGATCCTCTGTACACAAAACACACACACAACAAACAACAAAACACACACAACACACACAAAACACAGAAACAGTTAATAATGTGGACATGACTTTTCTTGTCTCACATTTCATGAACCTATGTCCAGAGTGAGTCAGGTCGGGGGCACAGAAGCAGTTGCTCTCTCTTAATGACAAAGATCGTGATGATGTCACGACCAGTGTGTGGGAGACAAAAAACACACAAAATTGCAGCTTCTGGAGGCACACACACACAAACACACACACAAGCACACGCACACACACACACACACACACACACACAGCTCCAGGTGTGAGGGGGCTACACTCCTCTCCACTGTGTTTGGGTTAAAAAAACAACTTACCTCACCTGATACGGAGTGGGGTCTCACCTGTGAGGGGGCGGGGTCTCACCTGTGAGGGGGCGGGGTCTCACTTGTGAGGGGGCGGGGTCTCACCTGTGAGGGGGGCGGGGTCTCACTTGTGAGGGGCCGTGGTCTCACTTGTGAGGGGGCGGGGTCTCACCTGTGAGGGGGCGGGGTCTCACCTGTGAGGGGGGCGGGGTCTCACTTGTGAGGGGGCCGTGGTCTCACTTGTGAGGGGCGGGGTCTCACCTGTGAGGGGGTGGGGGAGATGCCGTCCTCTCGGCCGTTGTAGATGTAAACAGCTCCTCTGAGCTCGTCCTCATGAGGAGCTCCAATTGCCACATCTGAAACACAAGGCTTCAGTCAGAAGGTCTGATCTTACATCTGTGAGGTCCATGAGGTCCTGTGTGTGTCATGTGAGGTTCACGAGGTCCTGTGTGTCCTGTGAGGTCCTGTGTGTATCCTGTGAGGTCCATGAGGTCCTGTGTGTGTCATGTGAGGTCCTGTGTGTGTCATGTGAGGTCCTGTGTGTATCCTGTGAGGTCCTGTGTGTATCCTGTGAGGTTCACGAGGTCCTGTGTGTGTCCTGTGAGGTCCTGTATGTGTCCTGTGAGGTCCTGTGTGTGTCATGTTAGGTCCTGTGTGTGTTATGTGAGGTCCACGAGGTCCTGTGTGTGTCCTGTGAGGTCCACGAGGTCCTGTGTGTGTCCTGTGAGATCCTGTATGTGTCCTGTGAGGTCCTGTGTGTGTCATGTTAGGTCCTGTGTGTGTCCTGTGAGGTCCACGAGGTCCTGTGTGTGTCCTGTGAGGTCCACGAGGTCCTGTGTGTGTCCTGTGAGGTCCACGAGGTCCTGTGTGTGTCATGTGAGGTCTATGAGGTCCTGTGTGGAGAGTCTGAGAGCAGTGGGACATAATGACAATAGCAGTTTCCTGTAGTGGACACTTCCTCAGGCTCAGAAAGAGTGAGGTGTGTGGACTTTAAAAATGCGCAGGAGCTTTGTCATGAGTTTAAACGGCCCCTTCGGTCTGTGAGGAACACGTGAAAAACAAACTGGGTCATTTTACACGGTTTCCACTGTTGTTCTTTGCACGTCAGAGGTCAGAGGTCAGAGGTCAGGACTGATTCTGACCTCCAGAGCTCCTCGTACCGTAGATCTGACCCGGGGCAGGACACATTCTGCCGCGTCGCGTCCCTGTAAGAGCGCTCGGGGCGACAGTGATTTCTCGTGACTTTTGACAATCACCGTCGCACTCCCGCAGAAACGAGCCGCACTGCTGCTGTCGCTGTGCTCTTGAGCAAACCGTGGGTGGGCCCGAGCTCCAGTAAACAAACACGTGGAATTACAGGGTCCGCGGGGCTCTGTCATTACACTTTAACGACGGCCCCGCCCCCCTTATCACCCGGGCAGAGCGAGGCCGTTACTGACCGCACCCTGTACACCCGCACGTGTCTGTCTGTGTGTGTCTGTGTGTGTCTCTGTCTGTGTCTGTGTGTGTGTGTGTGTCTCTGTCTGTGTGTGTGTGTGCGAGTGCAGCAGAGGGTGTGCAGATGCTCGTTTTCACACAGGATGCAGGGTCAGGGTCACACACAGAACACTGAAGAGACTGAGAGGCGTGTAAAAGCACAAAGAGCCTCCAGCGAAAACAGCAATAAAACAACGATTAAAATAGAATTATTTGTGAAACTAAACATTATTTTAAAGGCCCGGCACTATGGAAAAAATCAATATCTCGATTATTTTGGTCAATAGAGGCTATTTTTTAGAGAGAAATGTTGAATAAATGCATTATGTAACTAAAAAAGAACCGTTTGAATAATCGAGATTTCACTATAGAGGCTTTGCACCGTCATGTGTTCCCATGGCAACGGTATCTACGCCACCATGACACACGCTATGCAACTGACTTCAGCAGTACTGGAGAAACATGGGCAGGTTTTGTTGTGTATTTGGTTGTTCTAGACCAGAGGTGCTCACACCTTTTCAGCGTGCAAACTACTTATAAAATGACCAAGTCAAAATGATCGACCTAATACAAAGTCAAACAAACTGCACTGAAACACTCTGTGGCCCTTTTTTGGACCCTCCCCCACAGTTTGAGAACCTCTTCTTTAAGAGAACTTCCTCTGGCACTTTACACAAAACTGTGAAAAAAGTGAAGGAAGATTTTTAAACCTGTTTTTTTAAAGTTCCAAACTGGAGTTTCATTCTTTTCTGGTTTTGCAGTGATATTTACCAGCCTCTGCACGTTTACCAAACCAAACACACATCGTGACAAACACAGATGCATTTGTCACTTTTGTTAGACAAACTTCAGCCAAATGTGGCAGTAGGTCTGTTCTGTAGATCCGCTCTATGCTGTAGACCTGCTTTGTGCCAACACTGGAACACAAATTTAGACTGGTTTTTGCTTCACGTTTGGTCTTGCTTCTTCTAATCAGCCGCACTGTGGGAGGGGCTTGTGTTCGCTGTACGCAGGAAGGAGCGAGAGCGTGAAAAGGCGAGGGGCGGCGTGCTGACGTGAGGCAGATGGACAGGTAGGATGTTTAGGAAGTTGAACCTGCCCTGTGATGCACGCTGGTACACGAGGGCACACGCTGTCGCAGACGAGCCGTGCATAGGGAGCGTGTGTGTTTGTGATGCGCCGTAGAGTCTCCGCGGGTTTCAAATGAGCGCACAGGCTGCACTGAGACGCCCCACACGCTCCTGCACCCGCTACAAGTTTATTACCAACAGCAGCGGCCGGAATGAAATATGATCACACTTGTTGAGTGTCAGACCTCGAGTGAGAGACAAGACCGAGTCCAAACGCGAGTCCGAGACGAGACACGGCGATCTACCCACACGACCTTGGCCATTGACTGGTAGATCGCGATCGACGTATTGAGCACCCCTGGTGTAGAAGCTCTGAAAGATTCAACGAACCCACACTGGGCTCCTGTGATCAACATGACGCACGAGTCGAAGAGTCTGTGAGCCGAACCTTGAAAGAATCGGTCATGAAAAGATCCTCGCCAACGTTAGAAAGATCCACTCACAAAAAACGATTAATTCTAGAAGACATAGTTGTGGATAAACAAGACAATAAAGAAAACATGGGTCCTATGACGAGTGACATGTTTATATGTGCGCTGGAAGATACAGTTTCTACTGCAGATGTTTTCTTTTTACATTTTAGTTCAGTAAATGTGCTTCTCTCATTAAATAAACTATGAAACAATTTAAATAGCAAATACCTTGATGAAAGTGACGTGAGTGTGTCTTGATGGGACCATTGGAAATCTCTTCGTGGTTTATGTTCTCTAGACATAATCAGCGTCTTTTTTTTTCCGATAATTCCCTTGTTTGATCCTGATGAGTAATTTCCAGAGGAACAGTGAAGAAACGAATCGTTTTATCCTTTCAGAGCATCAAGAACAACCAAATACACAACAAAACCTGCCCATGTTTCTCCGACGCTGCTGAAGTCAATGACATAGTGTTGCCCGGTGTCAAGGCGGCGTAGTTACCGTAGCTATAGGGACACGTGACGGTGCAAAGCCTCGATAGTGAAATCACGATTATTCAAACGGTTATTTTTTAGTTACATGCTGCATGTATTCAACATTTCTCTCTAAAAAAAACACTTTGTTATTGATAATATACGCATAACTTTCTAATTGAAAATAAATTCACGGTACAAATTAGAAAAAATAGACCATTGTGAAAGACCGTCGTGTCCCTGTCCATTTCAGTGGACGATTTCCAATTCCCACCCCCGCAAACTTTTCTCATCGAATCTACACAATTATTCATGTAGGTCACTTGTTTTGGTGAATTTCGCTGAAAGGTGAGAGATTTTCATGCCTGTTTATTTTCCTTTTCCTAACATGGACCTGGCTTCTTTAACCGCCAGCCTCAGTGAGCTTCATTTGACTGGAACTGAACGCTGTGGGGACGTCACACTCGCTCAGGACTCGTCTCTGCTCTGTACACACTCTGTGCTCTGGAGTAGAAAAAGTGGAGTCTGTTACCGGGGAAACCATCATCGTCCAGGTCCCCGAGGTCAGCGATGGCCTCCCCGAACCGCGCCGCGTACGCATCACTGCCCGACAGCACAAACTCCGCCTCCTGCAGCTCCGCCTGGTTTCCACGGAGACAAAACATACAAAGGATCATGTACAGTTACTCACAAAACAGAATCCAGAAGTCACATGTAACAACAAATAAAGGATAAATAACATTTAAAACAACTTCTTTTCACTACAGCGCAGTAAATATGGTTTAATATTATCTACATGTCTTTTTTTGGCCATTTTAGTGACATTTTACCCATATTTGGCCTTAGGGTACTCGCCGATACCGATACCAGTCCAATATCATATAGTGTGAAGAAGTAAACTAAGGATACTCAATTTTGTTACAGAACAAGCGCAATAAATAAATCTACTAAAAGACTCTAAAGAAAATCTATAGAATAAATGAAATTCTGAGAACTAAGTGAGTCAAATATATAATGATTCTGACCATTAATAGTGCTGATTTAAGCATTTATACTTTTCTGATTCATCACTTTCTACCACAGCCTGGATAAAAACAACAGTGGGGCCTGGAAAAAAACACTCATCCTCGGAGCTCATGGATCATTTGGCAGAGTAAACAAAGTCAGAGTTGTCGTTGTTTTTCTACTAAATTCAGCGTCCAGACTAAAGATTCATTGAAGGTATTAAAGAAGAAACACAAGTGTCTTTTCTGTCATTCTCAGTGTGTTTTAAGAGTCTGTAAAGCCTCCAGAGTCTGAGTTTAACCTGCTCTGCCACACAATGTACAGCGTCCGTGACCTTCCTCACCTGTCCTCGGTTGAGGTAGACGTGGACACGCCCCTCCTCGCGGCTGGCCCCCGTCGCCATGGGAGCGCCCACCAGCAGGTCCGAGAGTCCGTCTGCGTTCAGGTCCAGTGCGCACAGACTCGCCCCGAAGTACGAGCCCAACTGAAACACACCGAGTCCACCAGGAACATGAGCTTTTATTACACAACTGAAGAAGACCAATGATGAAAACTTATTCAGGTCAAACATGCAGCCTGAGATTTCAGGTTTTAGTAGTTTATGTCGTTAGAATCATTGAGTGACCTTCAGACTCTCCCACAGTGTGTTAGAGACTAGAACTAGAATCAAATTTAGAAGATGAACCCAAGATGGCGTTGTATTGTTTTCAGTGGTCTGTGCTCATTGAAGCATCGTGCCAAAAAAGATTTTCACTTCCACATTACTTCCTGAACACTTGCCTTACGCAACAAAATGTATGACGACAGAAACGTGCAGTTCTGACCAATCAGAGCGCGAGCTGCGAGAGCTGCTAGAGCGGAGCGAGCGCAGGCTCATGGGGGGGGCGAGGCTAAGTCTGACAAACATCACTTTTTGGCACTTTGAGGATTTAAAAAAATTTAAAGTTCATATTGTAAAAATGGCAAAAGGAGAAATTCAGTTTCTCAAATGGACAAAATTTTATCTGGTCGACACTTGTGGACATTTCCTTATAGGCGAGTTTCAGCTGACGTCATTGTTATTAAAAGCCCGCGTTGCTGCTGGGAAATATTTTGGTCGGAGGCAAGAAACACGGTAGCGTCAAACACAGTTCGTAACCTCACGTATTTCTCCTCGATAATGGTAAATTCCTGCTGCATTATCGGACGCACAAATAGAAGCACGGAAGAAGGAAAATGTCTTTTTCGTATTCTGAGTGAAAAGAACCGCTAACGGTGAATTAAACGACTTTCAAACATCCACAGAGCAAACGTAGAAGATCCTAACAAACCGTGGACTCCAACAAGTTCAACAACACATCGAGACTCTTGGAGGTTTTCATCTTTTCTGCTGTGAATGGCCCAGGAGTTTCCACCAAGTCATTGTGGATATCGCCCAAGTGAATATTTGTCCAGGTAGTTGGAGATTCTGACCAGAAATTTGGTTTGGTCCAGACTCTGTCGGGGTTGAAAAGGGTGATTTGTCTGTCGATGCTTATGACCAATTTCTGGTCAAATGGTCTTGGGTCCTCTGCCGTTAGAGTGGATAAATAACCGGGATCAATACCCTTTACGTGCTTTCTCGCTCCGTCCGTCATGTTGAATTAGTGTTTCTTGCTGCCGAACAAAATAATTCCCAGCATGCAACACGCGCTTTTGTCAACAATGAAACTCGCCTATATCTGCCTGCAGGAGGAGTTAACTACACTGAAACTACTCTGAAACTAACATATCTACTCTTTACAGTACAGTACTGTCTCTGTTAGTTTGCTCAGCCTATTGAACTGCACAGAGTGAACTGCACAGGGGTCATATTAACATAATCATTCAGGTCCATAATGGGAGTTTTCACACCTCAGGGCCTGACCTGAATATCCCTGTTGTTCTTTTGTTTGTTTTGTTTGAGGTTTGAGGATGGAGTTGTAAACAGGAGACAGATGGTGTCTGAGTCCATTTCTGTTTAAAGAAGGATTCTCTTTCTCAACAAAAACAGCTTCTTTAGCTCCTCTCTCAAACCAATTCTTTTCTCTGGCTCAAATCTGTTCCTCACAGTCGCTTTTAGGTGGAGATGTACAGCAGACTGAGGTCCTGTGTTGCTCTCTCGTCCGTGTAGCGTTCACTGCAGTCTTCACTACACTGAATGGAGTAGACCACATTGCTTTGTTTGTGGCTTGGTATTTTGTCCACCTTAAAGTGTTTGTAGGTTTGAAATAGACTTCGATTTCATGTTTTTTGAAAATCCTCTGTAGTTTTTCAGAAACATCAGCCACGTAAGGGATAGTTACGCCCTTTTTCCCATGGGTTCTGATTCTCTGTTGTCCTGTTTTTTAGCTTTCTTTGTTTTGTTGGGATATTGTAAAAACACAAAAGAATCCTACAAAACCCGACCTTTATGAAAGCTGTCGATGCAATGTCAGCTAAAAACGGGCCCAAGCTCCTGGAAGCTGCAGTACCTGGAGCGGCCACTAGTCGGTTTTACTCGCGGACAGAGGTTACAGATCACAGTGTCACAGTGAGCTCACCTCTTTCCCCGACACGTTGGTGAGAACCCTCAGCCTGTTGTAGTCCACAGAGAAGATAAAGACCTGCTCCACAAACACACACACACACAGACAGAAACACAAACACACACACAGATAAACAAACACACACAAACACACACACAGAGGGGACGGGGTTAGAGGCTCCTCAGAACTTCAGATGTTTTTTTTCATTTAAATCAGACTGTACCTTTCCCCTCTGGTTGTACTGCGGAGCGCCCCCTACCACCTCCATCGACGACTCGCTCAGGAACGGCCCCGCGCCCACCGAGTAACCTACACACACACACACACACGCACACACACAAACAAAAACACACAAACACATAGAGTCATACGTTAAGGTCCTATATGACGTGAGCTTTAAGTCATGTTCTAATTTTGTTCCCTCGTCAAAAACAGAGCTGGACTTGTGTTTTGTTCCAGTCACATGTTTGAGTATCGCGTGACATCACAAGGTGGACCAGAGTGTTTACAGTCTGAGAGAAGAACTCGTGCTAGACCTGCAGGGTTTGTGTGTCAGACATGTGTGAATGAAACAAAACACAACTCCAGGTCTGTGTGTGACGAGGGAGCGACATTAGAACAGATCAGACAATAGTGTAAAATTATCCAGTCCAATATCATTCATAATTTACAAAAAAATATAAATCAATAAATAAAATAAATAGTTAAAATAAATAGATCAATAGATAATGAAAAATAAATATTGGAACCAGTCTAAAATAACATAGGAATTAAGGGTTACTAGTCCAAAATACTCAGAATCCAAGTCCTTTTAAGTCACAAATGTTATTTACTTTTGGCAAGGGGCGGGGTTATAAGTGTGAGGGGAGGGGTTATGAGGTTGGGGGCGGAGGTATGAGGTTGGGGGGCGGAGTTATGAGTACAAGGGGCAGGGTCACCCTGCATTCAATAATCCTTCCGATAACCGTCGGTTTTCCGAGGAAGTTGCCTAGTGACACAGACGACGCGCCCTTTTTCCTTGGACGGTGCAACTGTGAACTCGATGGTGAAAAACGTCGACCGTGCAACGATTCTGAGTCAGAATCCAAGACGGCTGCGCCCACATGTAAATATGTAGTGTTTGCATTGTGTTTGGGCACTTTGGTGGTTTAATTGACAGTTTCAGTCACTTGTATCGCTGCAGAACTTTACCGTGTCAGTATCGCTGCAGTACTTTTACCGTGTCACTATCGCTGCAGTACTTTACCGTGTCAGTATCGCTGCAGTACTTTACCGTGTCAGTATCGCTGCAGAACTTTTGTGGCAGTCATGTTGGGGACGTGACATCAAATCCGAGGTCCAAGCGGGAGTCGGAAGAAACTCAAACGCAGGGTTATAAATTCAGGAGTTTATGAGTTCCAGGGTGGGGTTATGAGTACAAGGGGCGTGGTTATGAGTTCGAGGGGTGTGGTTATGAGTTCGGAGGCGGAGCTATGAGTTCGAGGGGTGGGGTTATGAGTTCGGAGGCGGGGTTATGAGTTCGAGGGGTGGGGTTATGAGTCTGGGGCGGGGGTTATGAGTCCTGGGGCGGGGTTATGAGTCCTGGGGGCGTGGTTATGAGTCCTGGGGGCGGGGTTATGAGTCCTGGAGGCGGGGCTTACCCAGGTAGCTGCCGAAGCTGACCGTGGCAGAGTGGTCGTCCACATACGAGGACATGACTCCACTGGACATGTTGTAGACCAGGACTGAACCGGTCCAGTACGACGTCCCCGGGGCCCCCATCACCATCAGGTCCTGGAGGTACGTGCACAGAGAAAGAATGACATACAACAGATAATACTCCCTACAACTGTAAAAAACAAAAACTAAAAAAACAACCTCAGATAATACTCCCTACAACTGTACAACAACTCATGTAACAGATAATACTCCCTACAACTGTACAACAACTCAGATAATACTCCCTACAACTGTGCGACAACTCAGATAATACTCCCTACAACTGTACAACAACTCAGATAATACTCCCTACGACTGCACAACAACTCAGATAATACTCCCTACAACTGTACAACAACTCAGATAATACTCCCTACAACTGTACAAAAACTCGCTCTTATGTAACAGATAATACTCCCTACAACTGTACAACTCATTCTTATGTAACAGATAATACTCCCTACGACTGGACCTGTTGTTTGTGTCTGACCTGAGTGAGGACGTTGGAGATTCCGGCCTGACACGAGCCGTAGTCTTCTCCAAACTTCCTCTGGTGAGCTGTAAAAAAAACACACAACGATCAGACCAGGACATCGGCCAATCAGAGCGCGGCGCCTGTGTGCGTGTCCGGGCAGTGTGGGGTCAGGTCTGCGGAGGGGCGTTACCTGTGTAGCAGGGGATGTGGGGCTGGCCGTGACTCAGATCCGCTCCGTATTTGAAACACACTCCGTTCGGAAGTTTGTTGTTCTGACCGTCCCTCTGGGAGTAAAACACATTCTTCCAGCGATGAGCACAGGCCTGTACACACACAGACACATACACACAGACACATACACACAGACACATACACACAGACACACATACACACACACACACACAGACACATACACACAGACACATACACACAGACACATACACACAGACACACACATACACACACACACACAGACACATACACACAGACACATACACACAGACACAGACACACACACACACACAGACACATACACACAGACACACATACACACAGACACACAGACACATACACACACACATACACACACACACACACATACACACAGACACATACACACAGACACAGACACACACACACACATACACACACACACAGACACATACACACAGACACATACACACACAGACACACACACACACACACAGACACACAGACACATACACACAGACACATACACACAGACACACACACACACACACACACATACACACAGACACACATACACACACAGACACACATACACACAGACACATACACACAGACACATACACACAGACACACAGACACATACACACACATACACACACACACATACACAGACACATACACACAGACACACACACACATACACACACACAGACACAGACACAGACATACACACACACATACACACACACACACACACAGACATACACACACACACATACACACAGACACACATACACACACAGACACACACACATACACACAGACACACATACACACAGACACATACACACACAGACACATACACACAGACACATACACACAGACACACATACACACAGACACATACACACACATACACACACACACACACAGACACATACACACAGACACACACACATACACACACAGACACAGACACAGACATACACACACACATACACACACACACACACACACAGACACACACAGACATACAGACACTTAGTATGTGTAAAACAGCCACTGCAAAAAATAAAATATATTAAAAATATATCTACATATAATAGGGATGTAACAATATCCAAATCTCACGATACGATATTTATTACGATATTTTATGACGGCAGTGAAAACAAAACGTGTGACTTTTCTCCTCTTAAAACACCTTGACAAGACGTAATCCAAAGAACTAAGAGTTAAAAGTGTTAGAACTGTTATTTCTTCTTGTCGTCTGCACTGAAATGGAGCAAAGGATCATGGTCTATGTAGTTCCTCTGTGTTTTTTTTTTTTTATCTATTCCTGCACCAGAACTGTTCATTTAAACAAAGAGACTTGTGATTCGATACATTGTGATGGTCCACGATATTATTGTGAGAACTTTGACGATATGATATCACGATATTTCAGTTGTTGTTACATCCCCAGTATATATAGCCACAAGCGGCAATGGTCGGCCCTCATTTGCGCCTATGCCGCACCTTAATAACCCTAAACTTAAACCTAACCCTAGTCATAATCGTAACCAGAGCCCCAACCCTACAACCCTAACTCTTACCCTTCCATTTTTTGAAATTTTTGCATGTGTTTATTTAAAAAAAATAAAATCCAAGATGGTGGACTTCTGGTTTGTAAAGGGACGTGGTCACAATATACATTTTTGTTCCTATCACCACGATGCATCTGGTTTGTTTACACCAGTGTTTGTGTAAGGACGTCCCATTGGCAAGGACAGAATTTTGGCTTGTTTCCATGGCAACATTTTTTTTTTTCTGATAGTTTTAACGTTAATCCAACAAAACAAAAATGCTTTCTTATATTTATATTTGTCAGATCATCATTTCTGTGAGAGGAGAGACATTAGAAGAGCAAGAATGTTGTTATAAAAATCTTCTCGAGGCTGTAATGATCTGAAGTGTTTTAGTGAAATGAGTTTAACCCGACGCTTTAAAAGGTAAATATTACACACATTTTCCTCCTGCCGGTTTTTATCCATGTTATAATGTTTTTTCCTCATGAAAAAATATTTAAAAATCTCTGGAGTTGTGTTTAGTTTCATTCACACATGTTTGGATGAGATGATCCTGCTGGACACATCTCAGGACGTTTTGCTTCTGACGTCATTTTAACCTCAACTGAACCGATTTACAATAAACCAGAAGAACCCAGAGTTTCTTTTTTTTTTTTTATCTGTTTATTTTATTTGACTTTGTTGTTGTTTTGTTGAAGTGACCACAGAGAGTCTACGATGTCTTCAGCTTCTTCTGCTGAGAGACGAAGATTCGACAAAACAAGTAGAAGCTGCAACTTCAAAGTTTCAGGCCAAAATCCAGACCTGAGACGATCTGACAGATTCTAGGGAAAGTTTGTGGAGTTTAGACACAGAGAAGAGCCATGACATCACCAGGTGGAACAGAGTGTTTTCAGGTTGAGAGAAGAACTCAGCCTAAATGTGCAGAGTTTGTGTTAAACATGTGAAGACTGTGGAACATTACAGCCAAAGGGACAAACATCTCAGTTTCATTGGTCGTCCAGGGCAAAAGATTTTGTGGAGATGCAGGTGAAGGTAATGAAAGCATGATTTCAGTAAAAAAAAAAAAAAAAAAAAAAAAGAAAGAAAAAAAAAGAAAAAAAGGAAAAAGAAAAATTAAACTACTTTTTTGCCAAACAAAAAAAAAAAATTGTAAAATGTTGTATTATCCATCCATGTTCTTCCTCTTATCCAGGGTCGGGTCTCGGGGGCATCAGTCTAAACAGAGACTCCCAGACTTCCTTCACCCCAGACACTTCCTCCAGCTCCTCCGTGGGACCCAGAGTCGTTCCCAGGCCAGTCCAGAGACATAGTCTACGTTCACACTGCAGCCTGAAGTGACCCAAATCTGATTTTTTGTCTCTATGTTCCTGTATCTGATCTTTTAATGTCAGTCTGAACCACACAGATCTGATTTTTTCAAATGTGACCCAGGACACTTGATATGTGCTCCTGAAACTGATCCATATCTGATCTTTAACATGTGACTTCAGTGTGAACGGTCAGGTCACATTCATCCACCTACACGTCATCAACAGGACACAAACGTCACTATTCTGCGATGAAGTAGGAGAAATTGTTCATGAACTCTGTGTGACTGAAGTGAAGCACATCTCCACTCACCACAAAACACCACCACCAAAAACCTGGTCCTTCTCCTTCTCAATCTCCTCCTTAAAACAAGTAAGTTGTTCATGTTCTGGCTCCGGTACGAGAGGAACTTTAAAATCTCCAGGTGCTCGATGCTGCGTCCATGTTTGTTCAACTTGTGTAAACACAGAGACGCTCGCTGCGGTTGACGTCGTCGTGTCTCCAGTGTCACATGTGGGACACTTTTGGACCGTTTAATGTTCACACTGGAGTCACATACAAGTCACATTTAACTGGAAATGTGAACGAGCTCGAAAAAACATTGGATTTCTCAAAAAAAATCAGAATTGAGCATTAAACCCTGCAGTCTGAACGTAGCCATAGTCCCTCCAGTGTGTCCTGGCTCTTCCTCCCAGTGGGACATGAGACATCAGACGCTCCTCTCCACGTGGAGGAGCAGCGGCTCTACTCCGAGCTCCTCCCGCGTGATAAGTGAAGTTGTAACGTGCAGATATTTGTTGTTGGTAAAAATGGTAAAACAATAAATATTAAAAAGACAAAACTAAACTCAAAAAGCAGCAGAGTCAGATCTGTGTAAAGCAATATTCTAGATTCTATTCCAGGTTGACTGATTTGTGGCACATTACAACATTTGACCAAAACAAGGTTAAAATCATTCTGTTTCAAGAAAAGGTTTTACTTTTTAGTTTCATTGAGTTGGGAAAAAAAGTTCAAACCAACTGCACTGCGGAACATTCTCCATAGAGACAGAAAAGTTTTATAACAAACTGTACGACTGAGCCAAACAGGGAAAAAAGAATCACGTTTATCACTTTTTTTTCATGATTTTTTATTTATTTTTTATTTTTTCTTGATCAATCTCATTTTTCGATTCAATTTTCCTCCATTTTATTAAAAACACAGACAGGAGACGTCAGACAGAAAGAGCAGAGAGACAGGATCAGCTGAAAGGACCAAGAATTCCAGAAAAATTCGCATTTAAAATTTGGAATGAGTTTGTAAAATAAATTAAACCTAAAAAAAAACTGCACGTTATCGTTGACGTAGTTGAGATCGCGATTTACGGACGTTTCGATTTTTGGTACAGCCTCAAGTGTGAACGAAACAAAACACGACTCCAGAGATGTTTGAGATGAAGAAACGACATCATAAAAATAAAAAAGATGAAACAATAATGTAAAACAGAGCAGAAGTTTTCAAACATTTAAACCAGGTGAATGTGAGTCTCCCCCTAGAGCAGATAAAGGTTTAATCCTGATTTTAGTTCTGGTTTAATCCTGGTTTAGTTCTGGTTTAGTCCTGGTTTAGTTCTGGTTTAATCCTGATTTAGTTCTGGTTTAGTCCTGGTTTAGTCTTGATTTAGTCCTGGTTTAGTCCTGCTTTTAGTCCTGCTTTTAGTCCTGGTTTAGACCTGGTTTAGTCCTGGTTTAGTCCTGGTTTAGTCCTGGTTCAGTCCCGTTTTAGTCCTGGTTTAGTTCTGGTTTAATCCTGGTTTAGTTCTGTTTTAGTCCTGGTTTAGTCCTGGTTCAGTCTTGGTTTAGTTCTGGTTTAGTCTTGGTTTAGTCCTGATTTTAGACCTGGTTTAGTTCTGGTTTAGTTCTGGTTTAGTCCTGATTTAGTCCTTGTTTAGTTCTGGTTTAGTCTTGGTTTAGTCCTGATTTTAGACCTGGTTTAGTTCTGGTTTAGTCCTTGTTTAGTTCTGGTTTAGTCTTGATTTAGTCCTGGTTTAGTCCTGCTTTTAGTCCTGCTTTTAGTCCTGGTTTAGACCTGGTTTAGTCCTGGTTTAGTCTTGGTTTAGTCCTGGTTTAGTTCTGGTTTAATCCTGGTTTAGTCTTGGTTTAGTCCTGGTTCAGTCCCGTTTTAGTCCTGGTTTAGTTCTGGTTTAATCCTGGTTTAGTTCTGTTTTAGTCCTGGTTTAGTCCTTGTTTAGTTCTGGTTTAGTCCTGATTTAGTCCTTGTTTAGTTCTGGTTTAGTCCTGGTTTAATCCTGGTTTAGTTCTGATTTAGTCCTGGTTTAATCCTGGTTTAGTTCTGGTTTAGTCTTGGTCATGTGAAGCTCATTCTGCTTCTGATTGGACCAAAACACTAAAAAAATAAAAGTTATATTTGATTTAAATGTGTTTTTTTCGATTCTGAAGACACAGTTTGGTCAAATTTGTAAAATTTAAAATCAAAATCTCAGTTTGTTTATTTCCTGCAATATCCATAAAATGTCAACATTTTAATTCATTTGTAAAGTTATTTTTACTCAGAGACGTGGGAAAAATCGAGTCCGGAGCTTTAAATAAATTATGATTATGAAAACTTTTCCGTGTTGAGTTCCTCTTCGATAAACCGCAGTCTCGTTCTTCTGCAGAACAAAACTTTTCACAAACTCAAAACATAAAACCAAATATATCCTCCAGAGTCTTTATGACACTTTTCTGATCGTTCCTCTTTTTACTCAACTTTGTGTTTTTCCTCAAACCAAAAGATGATGCAGTTTATTCTTCAAACTCTGAGATTATTTGTAAAAAAATATATATAAAAAACAAGACTAAACCAGAACTAAACCAGAACTAAACCTGGACTAAACCTGGACTACATCAGGACTAAACCAGGACTAAACCAGAAACTAAACCAGAACTAAACCAGGACTAAACCAGGACTAAACCAGGACTAAACCAGGACTAAACCAGGACTAAACCAGGACTAAACCAGGACTAAACCAGGACTAAACCAGGACTAAACCAGGACTAAACCAGGACTAAACCAGGTCTAAACCAGGTCTAAACCAGGACTAAACCAGGACTAAACCAGGACTAAACCAGAACTAAACCTGGACTAAACCTGGACTACATCAGGACTAAACCAGGACTAAATCTAGGTCTAAACTAGGTCTAAACCAGGACTAAATCGGGACTAAACCAGGTCTAAACCAGGACTAAACCAGAACTAAACTAGGTCTAAACCAGGACTAAATCGGGACTAAACCAGGTCTAAACCAGGACTAAACCAGGACTAAATCTAGGCCTAAACTAGGACTAAAACTAGAACTAAACCAGGTCTAAAACAGGACTAAACCAGGTCTAAACCAGGACTAAACCAGGACTAAATCTAGATCTAAACCAGGACTAAACCAGGACTAAAATCAGGACTAAACCAGGTCTAAACTAGGTCTAAACCAGGTCTAAACCAGTTCTAAAATCAGGACTAAACCAGGACTAATCTAGGCCTAAACTAGGACTAAAATGAGGACTAAAATCAGGTCTCAAATATCGGTGTGATATTTTTTGGTCCATCAAATCGGTTTAGACGATTATTTGGTCTTTTTTGGGCAGATTTTGATTAAAAACTTCTCATAAGTTTTGTATTTTTCTTCGTTCAAAACAAACAGATGAATAAAAGTGAGTTACGTCGCGCCGCTCGACTCTTGTGAAATCACTCAACTTTGTTTTAAGGAAATAAGTCTGATTTTCCATTTCTTGCATTTTTGAGTTTCACATCTTTTCTAAACACGGTGATTTTGTTCGGGCTTCAACAAAATCAGATTTATGTTTAGAAAACTTTAAAAACATAATTCACAATCAGCACAGGTTAGAAAAATAATAATTGCCATGGAAAAGAACAAATTATTTAAGCACAATAAGAAATTCATCTGTGTCATTCGTTCATTTGTTTTTCAAAATAAAACCAAAAATAAGAAAACGAAAAAAACAACAGTTTTCTTCATTATTTGTCTCCAAAACCAAAATGAAAAAACAGATAATGATTAGTTTTTTCAGTTTTCAATTTTGTGTTTAAATGAAACATGGAAAAAATTTATAACGGACTAAACCAGGACTGAACCAGGACTGAACCAGGACTGAACCAGGACTGAACCAGGACTGAACCAGGACTAACCAGGACTGAACCAGGACTGAACCAGGACTAAACCAGGACTGAACCAGGACTAAACCAGGACTGAACCAGGACTAAACCAGGACTGAACCAGGACTAAACCAGGACTAAACCAGGACTAAACCAGGACTAAACCAGGACTAAAACAGGACTGAACCAGGACTGAACCAGGACTGAACCAGGACTGAACCAGGACTGAACCAGGACTAAACCAGGACTGAACCAGGACTGAACCAGGACTAAACCAGGACTGAACCAGGACTAAACCAGGACTGAACCAGGACTGAACCAGGACTAAACCAGGACTAAACCAGGACTGAACCAGGACTAAAGGACTAACCAGGACTAAACCAGGACTGAACCAGGACTAAACCAGACTGAACCAGGACTGAACCAGGACTAAACCAGGACTGAACCAGGACTAAACCAGGACTGAACCAGGACTAAACCAGGACTGAACCAGGACTAAACCAGGACTAAACCAGGACTAAATCAGGACTAAACCAGGACTGAATCAGTCTCAGTCCAAGTCTGGTCTCAGTCTGGTCTTGGTCTCAGTCCTGATCACCCGACAGTTTACACGGGCGCACCTCTGCACCCATCCCGACAATTGGTCCTGGTTCAGTCCTAGTTCAGTGCTGGTTTAGTCCTGTTTTAATCCTGGTTTTAGTCCTGGTTTAGTCCTGGTTTAGTCTGGTTTTAGTCCTGTTTCAGTTCTGGTTTAGTCCTGATTTAGCCCTGGTTTAGTTCTGATTTAGTCCTGATTTAGTCCTGATTTAGTCCTGTTTTAGTCCTGGTTTAGTCCTGGTTTAGTCCTGGTTCAGTCCTAGTTCAGTGCTGGTTTAGTCCTGTTTTAGTCCTGGTTTAGTCCTGTTTTAATCCTGGTTTTAGTCCTGGTTTAGTCCTGGTTTAGTCTGGTTTTAGTCCTGTTTTAGTCCTGGTTTAGTCCTGTTTTAGTCCTGTTTTAATCCTGGTTTTAGTCCTGGTTTAGTCCTGGTTTAGTCTGGTTTTAGTCCTGTTTCAGTTCTGGTTTAGTCCTGATTTAGCCCTGATTTAGTCCTGATTTAGTCCTGATTTAGTCCTGTTTTAGTCCTGGTTTAGTTCTGTTTCACACACAGAAACCTAGATTCAGTTTGTTGATTAAAAATGAACGTGATCGATAAAATTCTTAATGATCGATTATCGAGGAGTCGAATAATCCTTCCCATCTGTAGTCCTGGTCAACATTTATGTGACTTTTAAAATTGTGTATCTGCAGTTTATCAACCGTCTGCCATCTCCATGTCCTCCCTGGGCCCCGGTGAGGCCCCGGTGAGGCCCCGGTGAGGCCCCGGTGAGGCCCCGCTGAGGCCCCGGTGAGGCCCCGCTGAGGCCCCGGTGAGGCCCCGGTGAGGCCCCGGTGAGGCCGAGGCCCCGGTGGTGAGTGGACTTACCAGCACGTTTCCTCCCTGGGGCCCTGGTTGTCGTGACAGACTGACCCCGAGCCACTGGTGGGCGCTCTCCCCCTCGCAGGTTTTCCCACATCTGCCGACCTCTGACGGAACAAACACAGAGTGAGGACGAACACGGAGACAAACATCTGTGAGAAAAAAAAACCCTCTGTCCCGGCAGAGCACAATGCATTTTGAGAATTCAACCTGCCCGTGTTCTTCAGGGCGTCCGGCTTCACAAAGGTCGGGTTTTGTAAGATTCTTTTCAATTTTCACAACATAAACTTTTTTAAATCCTCAAAGTGTCTAAAAGTACTGTTGTAGTGCTGTTGCTTTTTTTTTTTTGCGGTCTTGGTGTCATCTTGGATTTAACCATGTTTGAACTCTTTTCTCGGTTTTGAAGACTCTTAAACTCAGTCTTGAGGTCTGATGCTCGACAAGTGATAAAATGGAGACAGATTTATAAAAGCATTGATATATTTGTGTCAAAATATCTGTAAAATACAAATAAATGTCAAAAATGACAAAGATGGTCTCAATTTGATCTCAGTGGCCGTGGACTCAGTCTTGTCTCGGTCTTGTCGGGGTTTGGTCTCGGTCTTGTCTCGGTCTTCTCGGGGTTTGGTCTCGGTCTTGTCTCGGTCTTGACCTTTAAAAGTCTCGGTCTTGTCTCAGTCTCGATCCTCAGAGGTCTTGGTCTTGTCCTGGTCTTGGTCTCTGTGGTCTTGAATACAACACAATCTAATACTGATCTTTGTCAGTCTGAGCCTCCCCGCGCTGAGCAGCTCTGCGCTTGTCTTGTGGGACAGTGTGGGTTATTGGGGACATTGGGGACAGCGGGGACATTGGGACAGCGGGGGGACATTTGGGGACAGCGGGGGGACATTGGGGACAGCGGGGACATTGGGGACAGCGGGGACATTGGGGACAGCGGGGGGGGACATTTGGGGACAGCGGGGCATTGGGACAGGGGGACATTTGGGGACAGCGGGGACATTGGGGACAGCGGGGGACATTTGGGACAGCGGGGGGACATTTGGGGACAGCGGGGGACATTGGGGACAGCGGGGACATTGGGACAGCGGGGGACATTGGGGGGGGGGACATTGGGGACAGCGGGGGACATTTGGGGACAGCGGGGACATTGGGGACAGCGGGGACATTGGGGACAGCGGGGGACATTTGGGGACAGCGGGGGGACATTTGGGGACAGCGGGGACATTGGGGACAGCGGGGGGACATTGGGGACAGCGGGGACATTGGGGACAGCGGGGGACATTGGGGACATTGGGGACAGGGGACATTGGGGACAGCGGGGATTGGGACAGGGGGACATTTGGGGACAGCGGGACATTGGGACAGCGGGGGACATTTGGGGACATTTGGGGACAGCGGGGACATTGGGGACAGGGGGACAGCGGGGGACATTTGGGGACAGCGGGGACATTGGGGACAGCGGGGGGACATTTGGGGACAGCGGGACATGGGGACATGGGACATTGGGGACATTGGGACAGGGGGGACATTTGGGGACATGGGGACGGGGACATTGGGGACAGCGGACATTGGGGACATTGGGGACAGCGGGGGGACATTTGGGGACATTGGGGACAGCGGGGGACATTGGGGACATACCTGCGTCCATGGGGACACAGCGGTGGCTCTGGTCCTGGAGGCTGCAGCGGTAAATGGCTCCAGAAGGCGGCAGTGTGGAGTTAGACGAGTTCGCCACCGGAGCTCCAACCACCAACCTGCACACGGACAGGTGAGGACAGGTGAGGACAGGTGAGGACAGGTGAGGACAGGTGAGGACAGGTGAGGACAGGTGAGGACAGGTGTGAACAGGTGACGACAGGTGAGGACAGGTGAGGACAGGTGAGGACAGGTGAGGACAGGTGACAACAGGTGAGAACAGGTGTGGACAGGTGAGAGCAGGTGTGGACAGGTGAGGACAGGTGAGGACAGGTGAGGACAGGTGAGGACAGGTGTGGACAGGTGTGGACAGGTGACAGGTGAGGACAGGTTTGGACAGGTGAGGACAGGTGTGGACAGGTGAGGACAGGTGAGGACAGGTGAGGACAGGTGTGGACAGGTGTGGACAGGTGAGGACAGGTGAGGACAGGTGAGGACAGGTTTGGACAAGTGTGAACAGTTGAGGACAGGTTTGGACAGGTGAGGACAGGTGTGGACAGGTGAGGACAGGTTTGGACAGGTGAGGACAGGTGAGGACAGGTGTGGACAGGTGTGGACAAGTGTGAACAGTTGAGGACAGGTTTGGACAGGTGAGGACAGGTGTGGACAGGTGTGGACAGGTGTGGACAGGACAGGTGACAGGTGACAGGACAGGTTTGGACAGGTGAACAGGAGGACAGGTGTGGACAGGTGACAGGTGGACAGGTGACAGGTGACAGGTGAGGACAGGTGAGGACAGGTGGAGGACAGGTTTGGACAGGTGTGGACAGGTGTGGACAGGTGAGGACAGGTTTGGACAGGTGAGGACAGGTGAGGACAGGTTTGGACAAGTGTGAACAGTTGAGGACAGGTTTGGACAGGTGAGGACAGGTGAGGACAGGTGGGACAGGTGACAGGTGAGGACAGGTTTTGGACAGGTGAGGACAGGTGAGGACAGGTTTGGACAAGGTGAACAGTTGAGGACAGGTTTGGACAGGTGGAGGACAGGTGTGGACAGGTGTGAGGACAGGTGAGGACAGGTGAGGACAGGTGAGGACAGGTGAGGACAGGTTTGGACAAGTGTGAACAGTTGAGGACAGGTGAGGACAGGTGTGGACAGGTGAGGACAGGTGAGGACAGGTGAGGACAGGTGAGGACAGGTGTGGACAGGTGTGGACAGGTGTAGACAGGTGTGAACAGTTGAGGACAGGTGAGGACAGGTGTGGACAGTTGAGGACAGGTTTGGACAGGTGAGGACAGGTGTGGACAGGTGAGGACAGGTGTGATCAGGTGTGGACAGGTGACGACAGGTGAGGACTGGTCAAGGTCAAGTTTATTTCTACAGCACATTTAAAAACAAACAAAACAAAATAGATAAAACAAAATATGAGAATAAACAAGTAAAAATATGAATAAAACACAAAAAAACCCCACAATAAAACTAAAAGTTAAAGGTTAAGAACACAAATAAAACCAAACAAAAACACCTGGAGTTAAAAACCAGTGTGAAAAAGTGCGTTTTCAGGAGCGAAGAGACGAGAGGTGACGACTCGAGACGCAACGATATTCGATATATAATTCGATACACGTGTTCCAGTGTTTCCCACAGAAAATTGGAAAAAAAAGAAGAAAAGTGAGGACCGGGGAGGGAGGGACGGAGATTCTTTGTGACGACTGTAGTTTTGGGAGGATTCACGAGGTTCGGAGGGACGTACTCAAGGCGAGGGACACTTGTTGTCAAGGCGACCACTTTAAACAATAAAGTGCTGCGGGAAACAGAAGTGTTCGGTCGATACTCGTGACGATATGTGTGCTGTGTTTTCATTTATTTTGATCCAAAAGTAAAACAGTTCTCTTTCGTCGTCCTCAGAAAACAGCTCCACAGACTTACAGCTGAAATATTCTCACAGACGAGGGTTTTAACTTTCGCTCACTTTTTATTTCACGTTGACACACTCAGGATTGACACAGAGATTCACTTTAAACACTTTAGAATCACTTTCTGCTTCACGTCAGCTTTAATCAGATGCGCTGGTATTTGCCCCGATGACAAGACTCGAGATAAACGTGATCTGTTTCTCAGACTCTGACTCACAAGTTTTAGTCAGAAAACGGTCTGAGCGACATTTCTGTGTAATAGAACAGTTTTAGTGTCAGGAAGAGGACGTTAGAGCTCAGTGTGTCAAATTGTAAAGGACAGAGTGGGCGGAGCTACGTACTGTATCTAGGCCTGTAACGATAATCAATAAATCAATTAATCATACGATAACTTTTAAATAAATAAATTCTATTTGCAGCTTGTTTGTTTTCCTCTCTCTCTCGTTCTCAAACAGACTGAATGTTAGAAGCTTCTATCGCTCTGACTCATCTCGTTTAACAATCGTAATGACGCTTGAACCAACGTGCGCCGTGTTTATCGACACAGCGGACGCGCCTGTAGTCTGCACGCTTTTTGCCGCTGTCTGTCAGTCACGATGCCGAATCAGCACTGGTGAGTGGGACACGTCTCAGCAGACACATGCATCAACTACAGCGAGTGAAACGCAAACGACGAGAAGAAATGTCCCAAACCCCAACAGCCGACATAAACCCAAACCCGAGCGACAGAACTAGCCCCGCCCCCGGGAGAACCCGAACCTGAGAACCGACCCAACACGACACCAGACAGAACAGAGACTCCCTCGTAGTGGAATAACATCCTGTGTCACGGGTTCATACAAATATTTAAATGACCAAAATGTCGAGTCTCACAGCAGCAGAACAGAGAGACGAGACACTATACACCAACGTAAGACAATGACTAAACATTTTGTTACAGAGACTTAATAATCCATCCATCCATTTTCTTCTGCTTATCCGGGGTCGGGTCGCGGGGGCAACAGTCTGAGGAGGTCCTCCCAGACTTCCCTCTCCACACACACGTCCTCCAGCTCCTCCAGGGGGGATCCTGAGGTGTTCCCAGGCCAGCCCAGAGACATAGTCCCTCCAGTGTGTCCTGGGTCTTCCCCGGGGCCTCCTCCCAGTGGAACATGAACACCTCCCGAGGGACACGTCCAGGAGGCATCCGGAACAGATGCCCGAGCCTCAACTGGCTCCTCTCCACGTGAAGGAGCAGCGGCTCTACTCCGAGCTCCTCCTGTGTGACTGAGCTCCTCACTCTGTCTCTAAGGGAGACGCCCAGACGCCCTGCGGAGGAAACTCATTTCGAGCGCTTGTATCCGTGATCTCGTCCTTTCAGGTCACTACCCAGAGCTCATGACCAGAGGTGAGAGTAGGAACGAAGACTGACGGTAAATCGAGAGCTTCGCCTTTCGACTCAGCTCCTCTTCACCACAACGGTCCGATACAGCGACCGCATCACTGCAGACGCTGCACCGATCCACCTGTCAATCTCACGCTCCTTCCTCCCCTCACTCGAGAACAAAACAACGAGATACTTGAACTCCTCCACTTGAGGTAGAGACTCTCCACCCGCCCGGAGACGACAAGACGCCTTTTTCCGGTCGAGAACCAACGACCTCGGACTTGGATAATACTTAATACTTAATACTTAATACTTGGACTTAATAATCCATTTTATTTATTGCTTTGCTTGTGTTTGGTTCAACGGTGGTTTATTCAAGTGTATTTTTGTTAACAAGTCCTCGCTGTGAGTCAGACACATTAGACTAGTCCTGTGTTAAGTCTGTTTTATTTAGGCCTGTTGTTTTTGTTTGTCTGTGTTAAATGTTCTTTAGAAAGTAAAGTTTATTGATCATTGAGAGGATGTATTTGCATTTTTATTCCATGGTCATTATATTAGTTGAAATTGGTCTCAAAATGTCAATATTATCGTTTACTGCAATAAATTCTTGGTCAGTTAATTGTCCAGCAAAATGTGTTATCGTTACGGGCCTAGGCGGGGGACACTTGTTGTCAAGGCGACCACTTTAAACTATAAAGTGCTGCGGGAAACACTGATGAGTTTGGTCACTTTAATCAGATGCGCTGGCATTTTCCCCGACGACTGTTTCCCCCAACCACACTGTTTCTCACACTCTGACTCATAAGTTTTAGTGAGAAAATGGTCTGTGAGACATTTCTGTGTAATAGAACAGTTTTAGTGTCAGGAAGAGGATGTCAGAGTTCAGTGTGTCTCAGACTGTAGGGGGCGGAGTGGGCGGAGCTACGTACTGTATCTGCTGGAGACGAGGCATGAGACGTGTGAGCGCAGAGAAACGAGAGACAAACTCAGGAGGAAAATAAATCATCAAATCGTCATTAAAAAAAGGAAAAGTCTGATAATTTAACTCCCCTTGCATTTTATATAAACCAGAGGTGTCAAACATACGGCCCGTGAACAGAATCCAACCCTCCAAGACCTTTAATCTGGCCCTCGGCTTAGGTCTGGGCGATATGGATCAAAAAATATATCTCGATATATTTTGATATATCTCAATATACGATATATATCTCCATATATGTTCAAGAAAAAAATAACCCCCTAAAACTGAAAACTGCAAAAACAAATCTGCCAAATTCCACAAGGTCCTTTTTTTTTTTTTGTTATTGAAGTGTAAGAGGTCGGCAGTTCATACAGGAACATTTAAGATTACAAAAAACCCTAATTACAAAAATAATCATTTAACTGTAAAATAAAAGAAATAAAACATATTTCCTTCTTTTCATTCATAAATAAACAACTGAACACAAGCTCATCTTTGCATTAACTCTGTTCTCCAAACCATGAGCTCCTTCAGCAGAAGAAGCTCAGGATGTTCCTTATTTTAACAGATCCATGTTATTATCCAGCGTCAGGATCTGAGGTTTAATCCCACAATCCACTGCAGATCAAACCCAACGATTCCAAACACTGTTGTACAAGTGACACTGCAGCAGATTATTTATTAAAATCATCTGCATAAATAAACTTTACAATAAATAAAACATAACGACTCTAGAGCCACATCAGCCCGTTTGAGATAATCATGTGTTTAATGCAGTTTTGCGCACGTGTGTTTACATTTTACAGAAACAAAGCGTAAGCGCATGACTCATTTGCATAAACAGCACTTCTCATGCAGCTCAGCTCGTTTAGCTTCTTTCGGATTAAAGGACGCGACTCGGTGGAACATGAGGATGTGCTGCTGATGGTTTTGTCTGTAAATGGTGGAAAAGGTTCATGGAGCTTGAAGCTTTTCACTGGCACCAACTTTCGGCGTTAATGGTGACAGTGACGAGTGAAGGAGACTCGAGCGAACAAAATCAGGGAGGCAACGAGAGAGAAGATAAACAAACGAAACGCTGAAATCTAAATTGAATATAAACATTATATCGATATATACGATATGTCAGAATTCATATCGAGTTTAAAAACTATCTCGATATATTTAAAATATTGATATATCGCCCACCCCTACCACGGCTGATTTTCTACTAAAATATTTGAATGATATTTTCTATTAAAATCTTGTTAATTTTCTGTGGTGTTTATCACAGCAGCGTCTCCAGCGTCTCTGTACGTGGCCCCTCCCACCAGAGCAGCACAAATGAAGACTTGTCTCTTTCCAAACGCTCTTAAAGGACGATCGTTTTGACTGTTGACCGTGAAGGGCCGTTCACACCAAAGCATCAAAAAACGCCTTGACGCCTCTATTTGGAGCCTTTGCATTTGAGTTTAGACGCCCCGGACGCTCGTGTCTTTGACGCCGTAGACGAACGGGACAAAAATACTTGACGTGAGTCTGTTGCCCTGGAAACAAGAGCCCGGTCCTGGACTTTTCCTGAAACAATGTCAGACCAGACTGAGAGACTTTAGAGTTTTTATGACATAAAACATCAGTGGAGGAAATCGACTCGACGACTGGAGCGAGTTTATATTTATACTCCACTAATGACACTGGATCAGTCCTGGTCTAGTCCTGGTCTAACACTGGTCTAGTCCTTGTTTAGTCCCGGTCTAGTCCTTGTTTAGTCCTGGTTTAGTCCTGGTCTAGTCCCGGTTTAGTCCCGGTCTAGTCATGGTTTAATGTTGGTCTATTCAGGGTCTAGTCCTGGTTTAGTCCTGGTCCGGTCCTGGTGTAGTCCTCGTGATCGTCTCGGTGATTGTGGTGTATATATTTATTCTCCGCTCGTGTTTGTGGTTTTCGTTCTGGTTCTGGGTTTTTTCTTCCTGATAATAACGTCGCTGCGTCTCTGGATACTCGTCCCTGATTGGTCGACGCGGCGAGTCTGACGCGAAAAGTTCAGCATTTTCAACTTCTTGACACTGACGCCTTGGACGCACGTCTAGAGCCAAAACGCTCAAGACTCGCCGCGCAGGTGTGTGTACAGGTGTGTACAGGTGTGAACGGGTGAGAACAGGTGCAGACAGGTGCAGACAGGTGAGAGCTTGTGTGTTCAGGTGTGTACAGGTGCAGACAGGTGTGTGTACAGGTGTGTGTACAGGTGTGTGTTCAGGTGTGTACAGGTGCAGACAGGTGTGTGTACAGGTGTGTGTTCAGGTGTGTACAGGTGCAGACAGGTGTGTGTACAGGTGTGTGTACAGGTGTGTGTACAGGTGTGTGTACAGGTGTGTGTTACAGGTGTGTACAGTGTACAGGTGTGTGTACAGGTGTGTGTTCAGGTGTGTACAGGTGTGTGTGTACAGGTGTGTGTACAGGTGTGTGTACAGGTGTGTGTACAGGTGTGTGTTCAGGTGTGTACAGGTGCAGACAGGTGCGTGCGCAGTACCAGCTGTGGCTCCGGTGTCGATGCAGCAGGACAGAGTAGCCGAACATGGAGGCCCCGGGGCCCCTGAACTGCAGACTGTGCTCCTGGTCCAAAGTGTAGCCCCACACACAGAGAGAGGAGAGGAGGGGCCCCAGGAGGACGAGGAGGGGCCCCAGGGAGACGAGGGGCCCCAGGGGGAGGGGCCAGGGCCGCATTCTGAGGAGACACACCAGGGACAATCAGACTTTTCCAAACGTTAAAGCTCTAACAGTTTATCACATAAAACTGACTCTAGTTTAGATTTTTAAACTTTAAACAAATCCACAAGTCTCCAGTCTTTGACCTCAAGTCCAAGTCAAGTCCCAAGTCAAACACAGTCAAGTCCAAGTCGAGTCTCGAGTCCCTCGCCCATACTGTAAGTCCAAGTCAAGTCCAAGTCGTTTGTTTTGAACTTCAAGTCATTTCAAGTCTTTAAATCAAAGGATCTTAGATTTTTGC